GCCATAGAAAACCCTGAGCGGACGCCCTTGCTTTAAAAGGCATGCTTGACCATAAATTCTGGCCCAAACTTAGGACAATCCCGAAACTTTTCGCCAAGTGGCGTCTCCCCCCGCTCGGTTTGAGCTTCTAAGACCTTCCGATCCTGCAATGGCTTCGCGCTTCTACAGCAACATGCGCCTAACGCTGTAATGACAGGTTTTGTTTGTATATGGGATCCATTAGGTTTGGCTTGTGTTGAGCACTTTTTTCCGAACCACAGGTTCATAGTTTGGAGGCTTTTTGGGGGTCTATAAGGTCTTTCCGAGTTCTTGCAGGGTTATTTCAGATCATCAGAATAAGGTTCGAGGGGCATACATTAACTCTAGAAGCGACTGTACGGGAATCTGGCCCAGAGTTCAGGGTTTAGGTAAATTTCTGTGGAAGTTCCTAGTGGGCGTGCTCTTGTTGCCCCAATTCGTGCGGCAGCCGACAAGCCGAGAAGCCAGCCCTCTTGGGGTTTGGGGTCTGCCTCGACCCCCCAACTAACCTGTTCTAGTAGCCCCTAGTTACCTCTGAATAAGAAATATTAGTGCCCTTTGCAAAAGCTACTCGAGCGGGTTCTGGTAAGACTCAGGGTTTAGGGTTCCTTTTGGGAGGGCGACCCGAACCTGGAGTTTAGCGTTGTGGGTTCAGTTTAGGGTTTCGGGTCGAGGGGTACAGCTTCCTTGTGCTCGCACATGTCGCCTTGAGGCGGAGGCTCCATGCACTAGCGTTGCAGAAAGAATGATACTGGCAGAAGCTACTTCAAGAATCTGAATCAGCATCGTTCAGTGTGAACTGGAAATCCGTCGACCGTCCCACACATGCATCACCCTCAAAACCCTACCCTGCCTGAAGAGAAGCTACAGCCACTAAGCATGATCTAAACTATCAGGGATATGATCGGACCTTCCTCCAATAGAGGGCCCTGAAACATAGTAATAATGGTTCCCCCTTATCGTCCCTAGTGTTCTAAGCCGTTTTAAACATAAACTCCATTCTGTCTGTTGCGACTACTCCATCGTCCACTCACACACGACAAGGCCCCACACAGCTCGGGACATGCAGTCCTGCGTTCCGTTTGACCTGGGCGGAATAAGGAGGAGTCATGGGAGTCCTAAACCTTAAACCCTAAACCCCTAAACCCTAAACCTTAAACCCTAAACCCCTAAACCCTAAACCCCTAAACCCTAAACCCCTAAACCCTAAACCGCTTCACTCAACGGTTGGCCCATGTGATGGAAAAATGCCAACTCCAAACTCGTCAACTCAGTGTCAGGATGCTGCTCCCTGAAGCCGGCAACTCTTAAGTCCAATCTTCGACACCACAAGCTTCCAAAAATCATGCAAAAACACTGAGATCCAGAACTCTGCAGCCATGTTCTAAGTCAAAACCAACAAACCTCTAGCCAGTCCACAATCGCAAGAAAAATTGGAAAATGGGAGCAAATACCTTCAAGCACCCGAAACTCCCTTCAACCCCAAACCTCGAAGCCTAAACCCCAAACCCTAAACCCCTAAAGGCAACTCAGGATCCCGGCTCCTTGGGATTCAGCAGCACGGCCGTGGCCACCGAAGCACCTGACTCGGCGGCCATGTGCAGGGCGTTGCGCTTGTCGACCGTCAGGGCTGCCTGGGAGACGGTCACTTCGTCGATTTTGGAATTGTGGTTGCGTGTTTAAGGTACGTCGTTTGGTTTTGACAGTCCTCAGGGTGCGGTGTAAGGTCTATAGAAGCTTGTCCTAAGGGTTTTGTTGAACCGGTTGCCTGTGCTTTTTGGTCTCCTGCCGTTTGATTGTTTAGGGGGTTGGTTTTAGAGATGTAGGCTTCCAGGTCTAGTGACTAGTGGCTAAGGCTGTTTTAGGCTTTCTATAGAGGACCGGACTCTGTCATGCTGAGGGATGTTTTAATGGGTTGAGGGTGACATGATATCGTATTAAGTGTATAAAGCCTATATGAAAATAGGATAGGATCTTCCCTGATGTGTGCATGTCTCTTTACATACCTGTGTATGTATATGTGTGTGTGTGTGTGCGCATGTGTGTGTAAGTCTATGTGTGTGTAGATATAGAATGATGTCTGTCTACACACACGCTGAACGCCTGTCCGTTTCTGCAGGGATCCATGAACTGAGTCCCCAACTGGCTTGGCGCCATGGGTGATCAAAGTCTGAACCTGGGCACGGGCGTGGCAGGTCATGTAGGGGCCGACATGGTCGTGGTGCCTCTGTTTGTTTGGGGCGCGGGAGAGGGTGCGATCCATGATAGAAGAAACAAAGGAAGAAATGAAGCAAGGACGACAGAAGAGGAAAACATGTGGGGAAACTTACGAACCACTGGCTACTGAGACTCGGCACTCGAACTCGGTGGAGGGATTTAAGACAGTGAGTCGTGCTGATTCCCCCCTGCGATTGTCGCTTTCACTGCTGGCAGCCGCAGCCGTGCAGACATGGTTAACATTGGTCACCACAGATTTTGGCTCCTACATATGCCCCGATCACCACCACTGCTTCCACTTTTGCTGCTTGTTGCTGTCACTGTGTTCGTCGCTGTTGCTGTGCTTGCTGTTGAGAACGGCGCAGCTAATCTCACGGCTGTTGCAATCAACACCAGGACCAAGCTGCCGTGGCTGCCCATATCAGGCATGCTCATATGCTTTATCAAAAAACACAATCATGGTCATAGTACTGCTAGTGGTCTTAACGGCGCCGCAAACAATGACGCTGCTGCTGATGACGATATTGGTTCATCATCTCCACCGACATCATCGTCAAGATCAGCAACTAACAGCACTTACATCACCATGCCCATCACCATCAAAAGGCTAGCGTCATCGCCATCATCACCTGGAGTTGCATATGTGACTTGCTGGCATCACTATACCAATGGCTACGGCATCCAGGGTCCCTGATAACACCATGAGAGTGACAACAAGATGGCATTCGCACAGCTGTGGCCCTGCTACTGACCATAATTTATAGGGGCCTTAATGGGGTTGGGGGGCCCATTATATCTTATAGTTACGATAGGGTTTGGGCCCAGTATAAAATAAATACAACAATAATCAATAAGGAATCCCCTCAAAATAGCATTGATAATTCTATCGGCAAATTGTGGTTTATGCGAGCACACTCACTTCCTGGGATCGCAGGATGCCTTGCACGACTAGGGCCAGGGGGACGATGCTTCTACATACTTCAACCACCCTTTTGAAAAAGGAGCTTGTGCCACCTGAGACCTCGAGCCCCAAACTTGTAAACCCAAGTGTCGGCTCGTCTTGCAGGTTTCGCAGGAGTCTGAGAGGAATACCACCGAACACATCGGCTGACTCTTCTGCGTACATTCACCGATACCAAGGATGAACACCTGACATCAATCGTATATACTGCGCAGTTTCATCGCGCCAACACGAAAGGCCTTGGAAAACCCAAATCCTGAGACCCTAAGAGCCTGTACATTACCCTAAACCCAACACCTGACACCTGACCTCTTGCAAGCCTGAACCCGGTATAGAGGTTATAAGGGATTTTAGGGAATATAGGGCTTATAGGGAGTATACGTTGTTGAGTTTAAGCTTTAGCGTTTCATATACTCTTGATATAGGGTATAGGCACTCTGCTCCGCCTTTTTCCTCCCAGCAAAGCCCAGCGCTGCGGAGCCGTGCCGTGCGTTGATCATGGGCGTGGTGGGGAGGACTGCACGTTCTTCCGCATCGTGCGGCATGTCGCTGTCGACGCACCGACGCACCACCCGAAACCCTAAAGGCCATGAAGGCCCTCCTAGCTTCACCCTGAGACTATATTGCACTGCTTTGAAGTGAAGGGGATCGGATTCAAGGATCCTCTGGAAATCCCTCCCAGTGGATCTGCAAGGCGATGTTCGGGAAGCGGCGTCGAAACCTCACACTTCGTGTGCACTTGCGAGACGATTGGTGCTGTGGTCTGGTGGTGGTCCGGGATCAGGGTTCAAGGTGTAAGGCTTGCAGGAATACTGCAAGCTCCTGATAACACTCAGTGGAACCCCAGAAGTGCCCAGCTCTCTCCATGTCCAAGAAAAGCATGGTACTGATTTTGTCCATCAAGGAAACCCTACGCTTGGCAACAAAGTCTGACAAAGGTGACCCTGGTCCAACCTGAGGCCCCAACGCCTCCTTACTGTGTGGGTAGTTCTCTGAATCAAGGTCCTTTTTGATCCTCATATGCCATTTTTGAAACCTGAAACAGACCCTAATTCAGAGAACTACCTGGATGCAAAACCAGTATATTCGTCGCCTGCCATCCTTCTGAGCTTACTGACCCGGTTTCGAGAATCATAGCCAAAAGTGCTTGAAATACCAGAGAAACCAAGCTTCCAAGGGTTGTTGGCCCGAAACCCCATAAGACCCTATGGCGATCCAAGGTGCTGCACCATGGCCCCGATGCAAGACAGGCAAGGCACCTGTTAAGACCGCTCGGCCCTAGTATATACTTTGGCCTTATGTACTTCCTATAATATGTAGGGATTACTTTAAGGCAAAAAAAGTTGTGTGAATATATAAATATATATATATATATATATATATATATAGATGCGTACTACATAGGTACACGGAGCCTTAGGGTCATTCATGCAACAGCAGGAACTTGGTCGAAAGCACTATGGTTTGATTGGGCTTTGACTAGGATACCCAGTAACCTAAGAATAAAAAGGCCTCTCTTTTTGGTATTGGGTAACTTTATAAGGAACCTAGGACTACAAAAAGGGAATAAGGGTACTACTGGGCATCCTAGTTGAGGTTCCTACATTTGCCAGGAGATGCTCTCAACTCTGGATAGTTCATCTTGTTACACCTCTCGTTTTCAGACCTTGCATCCTAAACCCTGAAATGTCTCATTGACCGCTGGGGTCCCTGAGCCCGACATTCTACAACATGAGTATCTAAGGGTTTCGGGTACCTTAAGGCATGCTTGGGGCCAGTTTATATAAATCGTACGTGCATGCCTTTAGTTAGTTCGAAAGAGCTTCAGAAAAGGGATGGCCTCGGTCATGAAGAGCTGCAGTTGGCCTTGCACAGAGGCCTCGATGACTGATCTTTAGGGTTTTGGGGCTTAGGGCTTGGGGCCTATGAGGGATTTCGGGTGATCTTTAGGGATTGGAGTTTTGGGCTTCGACTCTCGCGCAATTTCGCACAAGCCTGGCACGGCTTGAGGTTCAGGTTTTTGAGAAGTTCGGACCAGGGTTGCGGGCATTGGGGCTTGGGTCTTTACTTACCTTTGGTTAGTAGGGAATGGAAGAATGGTAGTAATAGTAGTTATATAATTGTACCCCCATTCCTCCATTCCCTACTAACCAAGGGTAAGTTTAGTCGCCAAAGCTTTGGGACTTTCTAAAGGTTTGCCAGGCGTCAGGGCTTTTGGTGATCGAGAGCTTTCCGAGCCGTGGATTTACAGTGCGGCACGCAGCGGCATAGCGTGCGGAGCGTGCTGTTGCTAGGGTGCGACGATTACACCGAAAATCTTCCACAAAGGCAGTGACCGACGTGCGGCATATCCAGAAATATAAGGACGCGAAAGCACACTCTAAAAAGGATCCTCGAGATATATCAGGGTACACCAAGCTCTATATGAACTCCCCCAAAGTACCGAAGCTTCCCGTCTGCAGCCTCGGCATCCCTGGTGACCACACGTGGTAGTTCTGCCTTGTGCGGTAGCTGACTCTGGGTTTAGGATGGTCTGGGATTGTCCTCCCAGCAGCACCAATGGCCAGGAGAATAGTCTCTATGCTGGTTCCATCAGTTTGGGGTTCAGGTGTCAGGGTATCATATCTTCCAGAAGCCTCCCCACAAATTGTCCAACTTTGTGAAAATCCGAAGAAAAGGAAACAAACAACTTGGGAATCAGGCTCTCTGTCTTCAGTTGATACACGTCGAAATCCCTGGAATCCTCATATCAAAGCACAATCCTGAAACCAGCACACCCAAACGCCCGACACTCCTAAACCCCTGACCCTTCCTACGTCCCCTTCAGACCTCTAAAGTCCTAAACCCTGGTAGATGTCCTTAGAGTAACCGATCCTAAACCTTATTAGAAACCCTTATCATGACCCTTTCTACACCCTAAACCCGAAGCCCCAAAACCCCCAACCCATATGCCCCACCTCGGGCCGGGCGCCTGTGCGGAGCATCTCCTGCGCCTGAAGCGAAGCCTCCTCTGGACTCAGGGTCGGTACCTGCCCGGTTCAAGGGATCTATAGTAAGGTTCCATAATATAGGGGCCCAAATAATTAACTATACTATTATACTATTGTGGGGGTTCCGTATTCTAGTTATAGTAAATTTGGTTCTCAAACACGACCCTTAGCTCAGGGTGCTTATGTTCTGGTTCGTAAGAGCATTATAGGGGCTTCAAGGGAACATGTCCTAAATTACATCATACGAAACAATCTTCTGACAAATAGCAGGGTGTTATCAGCAATAACAGGAATCATGCGAATAATAGGAAAGTTGAACACAGCCGCTACAATCACAATGCGACTGATCATACTACTCACGACAATAAAAAGAATGTCACGATATGAATGATGCGCCCGGGCTCCAAACGCCCCTCGACATCTTGTTTACCAGGGTGCGAGGGCTTTTCGAGAAAGATGCCTAAATTATCAGGGGATTCCGCGATTCTAGGTAAGATTTTGGGGCTTAAAGTGTAGATCTTCAGGGCTAGCTGTTCCCTAACATGGATTGGCATAACGATTTGAATGTATACTACGGCTCTTGAGCGAAGGTGGTTTGCTTATCGGCGGTCTGCTTTATGCTGCGTGTGTTTCCAGAGCTCTGTTTGGGGATTCTCATCCTTGTCCGTTCATGGTGTAGTAGGATCTATGAACTATGTGTATATACGAATATAATTGAATTGAAGCCCAATACTCGATCGGGAGTTCAAAGCATACAAACCAGATTCATCTCTGAACCCATTTCTGTTCAACATACGATGGGCACTCACCCAGTTTCTCGTTACATTTACATGGTAGGCTTGTGTTACAAAACCTATATGGCAAGTTCTAAAGGGATTAGCGAACCACTCCGACCCCCCGCACGTCACTAAAGTCCGCCGTACTTGAAAACTGAACTTCAGCAGACTACAAGGTGTTGTAAGCTGTGAAGTCGCTAAGAAACCCTGATACGGCCTTGCAATCCAAACCCGCATAGGCCCGTTTTATATCCTTTATAAGATGCTTCAAGATCCATGATGTAGAGCCGTCATTCTTCCTTAACTGCCCCACGCCCAGAAATCACAGAAGCCCTATGGAACCCATGTACAACTGCACAACCTTCGTGGGACAAACGCATCAAAGCACTACTCAAGCCTGCAGGAGAGCCCTCGCCGCCGCGGCCGTGCGCGCCATGGCCCGGAATTCGGCATCCCAGGCCTTTCTTTGCTGTCCAAGTGTACAAGGGTTTACACGGTTTTCAGTGCTTCAGAGGTTGCAGGACTTGGAGTTCCTCCTTCTCTGATGAGCCCTAAACCCTGAACCCTGAACCCCTGAACCCTATCTGATGTAGCCTTCGGGGTTCTTACAAGGCCTAGCTCGAGCTTGGCAGTTTAAACCTGCGAATTTGCGGACAACAGCTCATGGTAAAGGGTTCCCTGGGGAGCTGAGGGACTCAACACAACTCGTTGGGAGCCCAGAGAAGCACCAAAACAGAAACTGCTCGAAGATAACATCCCCACAAGAGAGAGGTAGGTTTCAATACTTTATGGTTATGTGCTTTTGTGGACTCAACCACGCCCTAAACCCTCAAACCCTTCTGTTGTATGTTTGTATCCGGGCTTCCTAAACCATAATTAAACCAACGGAGGCCAAGGATCTCGATGGTCCACCCGGTCGTGATGCAGCTTCACGTGGATGAATCCGGCACAGTCCTCCCAACTATGATAACATATCATGGTATGCCAATAAAATCTTGGTAGATCATGGTATGTCATGGTACGTCATAGCTTATTCCAACATGTTATAGATTTCGTCTGGACAGCACTGATCTCATTTGGGCTGGCGGGGTAGTTTGACTGTCAGAGGCTCCAAGAACCGTTAATTGTCATTAATTGTAGGACCGTAGGACCCCGATGTTTAGGTGCTGTTTGGGCAGAAGGGTGCGACATGCAGGGGAAGCCGAAAGCGACAAAATGCGACCTCTGTTTTTAGCCGATTTCCCCAGGGTTGCGGACTAGCCGTGCATGCAGAATACATCACATGATATCACATGTATTCCTAGCCCGCAGGCTCCACTCATGCCCGGACCGCAAGTGAATATCTTGAAGCCACTTTCCGGACAAGGTACAGCTCAGAATTGAATCCAACCTGTCCTCACGGTACTTCACGACGGAGCTATTCAGCAGCCGGCCAGTTTCAGCAGCAACAAGCGGCTGGGCAGCACAAACGTGCACCGAGGCCCGGAAAAAGCACCAGTTCCTGGCTGCGCAAATTTGACTCTGAACACAACCAAGCACTTTAATTGTGCCATAACTTATAGCTTAGAACTTATAACATCTATTGCGCAACGCAAAGATCTTCATGCCCCTGCAGAGCCCTGTCAAAGCATTCGATTAAATCATGCCCTGCATTGGCCTAGTAAGATCCGAAAACTGAAGTTTCTAAAGCCATACAATAAGAAATGAAAATCATGAACCCCCCTCCCCCTCACCTTATAGCTGGCGAAATGCCTAGCAGGATGCCGAGGCACTGCCGCTCTCCTCGGCCATCCACGCGAGTCTGCGCCTTCGACGCGCTCTGCTCAATAGTCCCGGCGCGTAAGGCGGCCACCTTTCATGGCTAATATAAGGGCCTAATGATTAGAGTAGGGCTTGGGGGTATAGCATACTATAACTATAATAAGGAAACCCCAGAATAGCACAAGAGTATAGGAAATTATTAAGGCCCAGGCTCTTACAGTAGTTTCTGTATAGCTACTAAGGATACTTAGGATCTGAGGCTCAACACGTACAGGCTTTGGTTTTCTGGGAGTTTTGGCTTTCTATAGGGCTTGTGGGGGCTTTAGCGGGGAAACTAGGGTTTCCGCGCTCACTCTCGGACAGGTCAGTGTTCGGAGCTCGGTCGGTTTAAGGTGAAACCTACGCTCGAGTTATTGTTGATGCCGTTTCCCTAGGAATCTAAGGACTCGTATATTAAGGCTTTTGGGCCCTAAGACCATACTATATAAGGCTTTTGGGCTATTTTGATGCCCAGGGCTTCATGTTCCCAAGGTCGCTCAACCGCCCTCAAGCTGCTTTCAGAGAAGACCGTAACGGGATTGTATAAAACACACAAAAGGACTTGGACTTGGATGCAAGCTGGGCTTCTGCAATGAAACCTACTATGTGTGGTAACTCAACTCTCGGCGGGTCAAGCCAGACTATGCACCCTATGAAGATGGGAGTAGGACCGGAAGCACCGGGAGGTTCAGGTATTGAGTCAGCTTACCCGTGAAACTGTGCCAACTTCCTGTACCTTTTGGACTAAACGTTCACAGGATATTCACATTGACCTGAATCATGATGGTAGAAAAAACAAAGATAATTGCCATCCATCCCCCGCCATCCTCACCACGCATCAACACAACCATTTCAAGAACACAACTTGATTTCGCCCGGGGCCACATCAACAAAGCCTTCATCGGAAAATGATGGAAGGTCTTACATAACCCATTCAAACCTCCTCCGCTGCCACCGGCAGGGCTCCGAAGCCCGCGAGAAGCCGCCAGGTGTGGTCGCTACCCAGGCCGCGAATGTGGAAGGTCTGCAAACACTCCTCTAGGATTGATGCGATTTAGGGGCCTAGGGTTTCACAAGGGTTGAAGGTTCAGGGTTCACGGTTTATAGGATTTGTGAAAGGTTTCGGGTGTAATTATAGGGCTGATCTGGGTTTGCTAAGCTTTGGCCAACCACTTGGATCAAGTATCAGCAGCTCGACCGAAGCCAAACTTTCCACGCAAAAAACTTTTGACTTTTCGCCACCTTGACGCATTAAGCCTTCAACTAGATCTATCCCGGAGCTCCACCTGACATGCCCGCTCAAATGCTGTTTCGCGGCCAGGCCTCGAATACGAAACCGGCCTCACTAACTAGAATAGGCTGTGGGGTTTGTCAAAGTAATTAGAAGATCCCCAGGCGTGGTGAATAATCAGTAGGCTTGCAGTTTAGAGTTCAGGTTTGAGGCCATGGAACGTGGGTGCACATATGTAAAGCTTAACCGCGTAAACCCTAAGCCCGAACCCTACGTCGCCTGAAACAATCTGGGGCCTTAATAATTAGAATACGGTTTTGGGGTCCATTATATCATACATATATAATAAGCAATCAACTAAAATAGCACAGTTATATATTAAGGCCCCTAGATTATATCAAATTTTCTGAGGTCCTGATATCGTCGGATAATGCTCGTCTCCGGTCGCTGCTCGGAAACAAGGATGGCAGCGAACTCCTTCGCAAACATTGGGAGGGGGTTTTAGGGTCATAGGGTTTAGGGACAATTGAGGAGGGGGTTTAAGATCTCGTAGCTACAGGGTTTGTGGTTTTTTCCGCCTCTCGTCCGGCTACGGTTTACGCTCTCACAACTACCCAAAGGCCCCATAGTAGTTCTTTTTTGGGCTTACCTTACAGGATTCTAAATCTGAGCCCCCAAAAGGGAACTACTATGGGGCCTTAGGGTAGCGTTGCCCTCTAACCCTAAGCCCTAAACCTGAAGCCCTAAACCCTAAACCTTAAACCCTAAACCTTAAACCCTACATAAACCCCCAGATGCCTCCGAGGCTTCCAGCATGCCTTGCCTCGGCAGCTCGGAGGAGGGGGAGTTCTTCGGGCTTCGTTGAAGGGTGTTTAGGGTTTCGACTCACGCACTCCCTCGTAGGCATGCCAGCAAGTTTTGGGCTTTAGGAGTTTGGGGGCTTACTAGCGTAGGCTTTTGTGGCAGTGTCAGCCAGGGGGGCCCTGATTGCACCAGATGCAACGTCTGCAACCATCATGGGTTTGCTTGGGCAGGGCTGCGCTGCAGAGCGCTCATTGCAGTGCACACTCGGAGCTTCAAGACTCAAACCGACACTGTTCAAAAGAAGTCTCAGACATATAAGTAGCACACATGGTTACAAACAACAGCAGAACACTGAACCCCGTACTTCCTGCAATATCGCATCAAGCTGCAAGCGCAGTCGTTGCGTTGCCAGAAGCTGATTCAACGCTTCCTAGCAGGCATGGAGAGGGTGACAAGGTTGGTGCATCATGCAGCAGCACATGGAGCACGTTGTACTTCTTTGGTGGAGAACAAAGAACGATGGAATTACGCAACACCCTGCACGACGAACGAAAGCACATTCATACGAGTAACACTCCAAAACCACTTTCAGTCCGGAATGCGTGTCGGCCGGTGTGCTTATAATATACATTATGTAATATTATATGTGTACATATGTTATAATGTAGATTACAGAATATAGAACTTATATGATATATGAAAATATAGAACATAGAAGACACAAATTTGTCATATATGCTTGAAGCGCGCGGCTTTGCTTGCAGACCAAGTTCCCACGCTCCGGATGCTCGCAGCTCTCTGCCTTGCCAAGGCGAGAATGACGGCTCTGCTTCTCTGGACTTTGAAGTAACCAGGGAGAAAACATATAGACTTTTATTTCATAATGGTTCCTTGAAGGAACATGTACCAAAACAAGTATTCAAGTATGGTACTCCAAACCCAGGTTCTTGGCTTAAGGGTTTACATGCGTACCTGTGCATAAAACATGAGTACGTCCGTACAAGGAGGGCGATCTGTGAACTAATATAGCAGCCTATAAAGAATTACCTATACTAATTTTGGGGATTGATTGCTCATTATAATTACAGTTAACAAGCCCCAAACCCTATTCTTACTAAGGCCCCTATACAGAATAATTGAACCCCTATACCACGTAGAATCACGACTTCGGTTGAGGCCAGGCGCTCCCCGGCAGGCCCAGCCATGGAAGCACCGCATCATGGACGACCCAGGCATCGTCGGCGTCGACCTCTCCAGTTCCTGCCTGAAAGCGGTCGTAGAACCTGGGCTTGAGGGATTGAGGGGTTTTAGGGGGGTTTAGGGGTTTAGGGTTTAGGGGTTTAGGGGCTTAAAGTTTAGGGGCTTAGGGGTTTAGGGTGGCTACCGGGAAGGACGCTTATCCCGGATCAACTGGGAAACCTTCGGAGTCTGTCCTTGTGGCATCTCACCCCCCACGGGCCAGAGATGCCCAGACCTGAAGCGGTGAAACCTCGAGCCTCGGGTTCGGGGTGAAGGGGGAGGAGGAGAGAGGGGTGGGAGGGGAGAGGTGCAACTTTCAAGCGTGAGGAGCTGGTCCAGCAGCTTGCGCACGGCTCCGACGGTCCAGGCCTCCAGCGGTTTGCTTGCGGCTAGAGTTTATGAGCCGCGGCAAGAGCAGGATTCTGAGATAGACTTTCTGTTGATTCCGAGGGTTGAGCCCTAAGAACTGGGGGCCTCACTACCGAATCCTAAACCCTAAACCCTAAGAAGCTTTTGGGCATGGTGAGGATAAGCGAGCTTTCCGGGATCACCGACTTCTCTAGTTGCCTAGGCGCCCCTTCGGAAAGTCTAAAGTGGAGGATATTCTTGAGGGAATTATGCACACCCAAAACCAAGGTTGAAGGTTACTTACTCTGCTCCGACTACTACTACACTACCACTCTGGATGAAGCCTAGAGTCGGGTTAAGTCCTCTCCAACTGAGCCCAAAATCCTTCACGCCAACTCTTTGCAACCTCTCGGCGAAATGGTCCATAAGCCCTAAATTACGAACCATATTCATACATATATATATATATATATATGCTCGAAGCCCTAAAAATCCCGAACCCAATAGTCCCTACAAGCCCGAAACCGTGTTGAAGCCTGGGAGGCGCAGGAGAAACTCCCGAAGCTTCGCCGGAAGCCAGAACCCTTCTTTGAACCGCTTCATTAAGGAATGTACCTAAGAGTTCCTTACAGGATTCCTTAAACGGTTCTAAGGCAGGGGTCTAGAAGGGATATACCCTATAGAATACACGAGGAACCCTGATCAGGACTAAGGTAACTAAGGTATATTACTTAATGAATGGATATTGCAAGGCCCGGGCAGAACCATTCTAAACCGGGGAACCCGTAGAAGCTCGCAACGCCAAAGTGGGTTTAGGGTTCTGGGTTTAGGGCGCCTTTTTAATGTTGCGAGTTGAGGATGCCTTCTCAGGGTTTAGGGTTTAATGTGCCTTCTTTGTTCAAGGTACCTTGTACTTGTAACTTGTAAAGTCTTACAGCCACAAACCCTACGAAAACCTCTATAAACCCATACAGTCGTCTTAAGCCAACGCCAACAACAAAAATATTGAACAACCCCTACAGTAGGCAGCTCTTACAACAAAACTTATACAACCTCTGCCCCCAAAGAAACTCAATCCTGCATATGAGCAAACCACATGCGTACACATAATACATACATGCATGCATACATATCCATATACATATAATACATACATATATATATATATATATGTGTGTAATTTTTATATACATATATACATATACACGTAAGTACTTACATATACATACAAAGTAACTTCCATAAAAAACAGAGATGCCCAAGGGCCTCGGAGCCCAGCCGGGCATCTGGGCCCAGCCGCGGGAGACCCGCAAAGGAGAACGCCAAGAGTTTCGCGTTGCTCCAGGTTCCTTCTTCGCTCAGTTTACGGTTTTGTAGGGTTGTTAGCGCTTTTCGGGTGATAAGGTTTGGGGTTTAGGGTGCAGGCGGGGTTTCGGGTTTTGACGCTCACACTCGCACAAGGCAGGCAAGGGTCCTCATAGTCCAAAGGATCTCAACTAACTGACAGCGCAATACACTGAGCACACTGGCACAACGAATGTAATCAACCGCTTCCGTGACGAAACAATGTGTGCTCAGTCCATGCAGCTGCATCACTCGGCTGCCCGCATTGTGGCACGCCACTATTTCAGAACAAGGCAGTTACCACTCACACCAACCCATGCATCATGCAGTACAACAGTCATCCACAGAGCTCGCTCACAATGCCGTTCCTTAACCACGCATTCCATGCAGCAAAGTATACGCTTCACTCCACTCTTCAGCCAACCAGCGTACATGCACATGCAGCATCCAATTCCACGCAGACAGATAAAGCACACTCGCGACAGAGATGCCTTCTTTGCAGACCCACATGCAAATGGCTTCATGAATTCAACACATCATTTGCTCCACCCATGCAGTTGCCTCTCATGTAGTCAATTCAAGTTGCCTCTGCCCTCCACCATGTCGCACACCAATCCTCCACTTGTCCCAAGGTCATCACGCCCAACGCATGCATTGACGATCCTGTCAGCCCAAGCCACTGGAGATTCACGCGCCAGCAGGTTCATGATTTCATCTGTCCACAGTCTGCTGCTCCCGACGGATGACTTCTGGTGCCATGTACTGCGTCGTACCTGCGAGGTTGTAGGTGCGGTCGCTGACGGCACAGCACCATCCGAAGTCAGAGACGAGGAGGACGCCAGCCCGGAGAAACAAAAGCTTTCCAAGGTCGCCGTCGCAAAGCGTGAGCCTCATGTACACCAGGTTGCCTCGCCCCACCATTTCTGCCAGGTGCACGACATGGGGGCTCGCACTTCTTCAGTGCGGTGACTTCGTTGTAAAGTTGGCGCTCAATCCCTCGTAAAGCGTGGTCAGTGCGGTCAAGCACTTTAACGGCCCAAAGCTGGCTGTCGGCCACAGCCTTGACCCGCAGCACGACTGCAAATGCTCCCTTGCCAACAATGACCTGCGCATGCAGCTCGAACTTCCGCGTCCAAACCGCTGGCAGGGGCGGCAACGTAGGCCTTTGCGGCATCATCTGCTGGTTCACCGCCGTACGGGCCCTCGCAGAACTGAAGATGAGGGAGGGAGTGGCCGTGTGCTCAGGGTAATTCGCAGCCTTTGAGGCTCTTGGGTACGTCTGAAAGCTCTGCACTGACCTTGCGCTCTCGGGCCCCGGCTTCAGTTTCCCGAATGCAGTGCTCCTCCTGTTGTTGCACTGCGTCGCGCGCCTCTGCCTCTGCAGAGCTGAGCTTCTGCCTTAAGGATTGCTTCTCCTCGCGTTCCTCTTGCAGCTCTTGCTCCAACGCAGCTAGCTTTGTGCTCTGCGCTTGGCGGGGGGAGCTCAGCAGGGGCTGATTCAGGTCTCCACTACCCAGTGCGGGTGTTTCCGGGTAGGGTTTGGGGTTTAGGGGTTTAGGATTTTGGAGTTATAGGGTGTTTTGGGCTTCGGGGTTTATAGGGTTTAGAGTCTACCAAGACCCCCAACCGTTTAAAGGGCTCTGATATTTTTCATTAAGAGCTACCGCAGTAAAGCGTAGTTGGAGGATCTAGGTAGGCTTTAAGGCTTACGGTCAACGGATTCTATTTAAAGCATTGATTAGAGGATTGGGCATTGGGGTGATAGTAGGGTTTAAAGGGATTAAGCTTCAGGAAGTGGGTTTAAAGTTTTCGGGTGTTGGCTATTAGGCTATTAGGGTGTAGGGCTTCAAACTATCATGTCTCTTCCGGCGCGGCGCGCCCAAGCTCTGAACAAATCTACTTTCTTCGGACCCCTCATCATGATATCCCGGCGTGGGATTTCGCGTTCAGGATTTAAAGCACTGGCTGTAGGAGTTCCTGTGGCTCTATTACGCAGGACTATCTCTGCTCGGGATTTGGATTTGAGATGATTAACGAGTTTATATTTGGGAGGGTCCAAGATTAAGGGCTAAAGGCTGCTATGCAGTTTGCAGAACATGTACAAAGCAAGACAGACAGGAAACCAAGGTATTTCTGTCCTGAAATACACCTAAGGGAACCCTAAGCCACCTTGAAGGAACCCTTAAGAGAACCCTAAACCCCGGTAGTTCACTTCGCGCTGCGGATGTGGTAGGATATCGAGTCTGGAAAGATACGATCAGGTCCTCCGGGGCTCATACAGGGGCGTTAACATTTCAACCAGGGATTATATGCGAAGTTTGTGTCTAATATACCCACAAGGTCCTATGTACCGATATAGTAGAATGTAGGGTTTCCATATCCGGAATTACAATTATGACTTAGGGAAGTATCCCCCATAACAGTACATGGGACCCTTTGGGATAAGATAGGGAACCGTAGCCTCTCCAAGCAAACTCTTCAGGCTCCAGTGTTGCTTCCATCATGCAGCCGCCACCGGGCATTTAGTTCAAGCTGCCATTGGGTTTTAATGGCCTCAACCCTAAACCCCTGAACCCTAAACCCCAAACTCTGAACCCTAAATCCCTAAACCAGATTTGATCGAAACCCTGCACACAGGCAGCGTCATGTGACCCTAATATAGGGCCTTACCTGGGGATCCCAAAACCTGCTGTTTCAGGGGCTGTACCCTCTAACCAAGGGGTCATAACCTGCCATTTTCCAGGGGTTTGGGGATACAAGCAAGTTTTACAAATCGGATTTGGGGCGCAAAAATATACTAGATTGATGGGCGGTTGTCAAAATTATTATGGTCCATTTTTGGATCCCTAATCTAATACGGCACCTAATATTTAAGGTACCCCAAAAGGGACCCTAGTTTTGACAACTACCCTGAATTATCGGAGCCCCACAAGGCATTTTGCAGCCGGGGGTCCTAACCCTCGATAGCCATTCGTGATCTGTCCGATCACGCGCCTTGGGAGCAGTCTTTTCCATGAGGTGCCTGTAGGGGCTAAACCGGGCACAGGAAGCCCGTACACATACTTATGCAGCTACATTTAAGCCTGTGATTTCGGGCAAGCTTGGACGCGATGCCCACAGATTTAGACTCAAAGTCTATCTCCAAACAGCTGAAAGCTGCAAGAGCGGATCATGACGATGGCGGAGGGTGATGAAGGCCCAAGCAACCTTGGCATGCAGCGTGCAGCGAGGGTCGACCTCAAAGTTCCGCACCTCCAAAGCTCGAAGCAGCTCCCAAGAAAAACAGCATGAAATCATAGAACAACCCACCTTGGCCTGACATCCGTTCGCAGCTTGCATATGTGCGTCAATGCCACCATGGCAAGATGCTGCCCGTGGAAATCCTCGCCGCGCTTGCAGGTCTCCGCGGCAACCTTTGTGTTGGACTTCTTTCTCTTTGCTCGGCAAGGTTGGTTTCGGGTATCTCTGTGTGTGTGTGGGTTCATGTGAAGTCTGATGGGAGCTGCGTTAATGTGGATAGTGGTGACGGCTTTCTTCTGCAAGAACACGCGCTAGGACTGCCAGTTCATGAGGAAGCCCCTCGTTCCCGAGCTGGGCGGCAGCATCCATGAAGCCGACGTCGTATTCGCCCGCAGATGCAAAGGCCCAAACAGTGTTGGACAAATCCTCTCGTGTGCTCGTGTTTGAGAAGGTTTTGATCCCACTCATCAGCGTTGCACTAACGAGATTTTGCAGCACCGGGCTCATGTTGATTCGATACATCTTGTGGAAGCTTCTGAGATCCCCTAAAAAGCTCTTGTGAAGCTCATCTTACGCCCCGACGCCAATACCTGACCTGCAAGAGCGCCTGTCCTGGTTGTTGAACTCGCGGAGTGTTCGGACAGAAGTTGCCGCCAACACTTCGTAGATGGACCGATCCTTGGGCCATCTATAAACGAAACACAAAGCCAAAACCAAAACCCTAAATCTAAACCCTGAACCGTTTAAACCCTAGAGGGGTTGGGCATAATATGTGTCGATTCAAGGCCTTGCTGCTGCAACTGGCGGGCTGAGTCTAACTTTGATTCCGGCCTGCACCAAGACCTTCCATGTGCTGCAAAGTCTGCGAAGTGCAAAGTCCCCGAGATTTTGCCAATGCATGAAGTATCTAGCGCTTGCGAGCAATCCAACCTATGTGCTAGTCGCAAATAACCTACCGATCCTGAACCCAGAAGCCCCTAAACGACCTGGCAAGCAGCACGAAAACAAAACGCAAAAACACGGGTTTAGCCTGCAGCCCAAGCATACACAGAATCCCCAAACAACAATAAACAAACACAAAAGCCCGATGGCTTCAACGGTAAACCCCCCAAAAAGCCGGGAATCCTTGGCCAAAAGGGTGGTGAAAGCCCATGAGGTTGTGGAGATATCTTGTGGGTTCCTCGGTGGAATTGCAGGATTTCGAGGTTGGTGTCTTTTCGTTATACGATATTATGACTGCGTCTCTCACTCTCGCACACGGACGACAGTATGATTTAGGGGCTTAGTTGTCGGTTGCTTGGCCTCAGGGTGCGGTTTAGGCCAAACTGTTTAGTGACGGCAACCTGGCTCGAACCCTAAGAGCTACGGAATGAGGGGCATACAAATTGTATGAGCACTGCATTTGCTCAGCCCAGATGCACTTTCTTTTTTTTGCTGTCACTCCAGTATGCGCACGAGTGCGTGCGCGTGGCCGGCATAGATTGCTGCAGGGCAGGCAGTCTCACGATACGTTGACTCGAATAAAGGGTTCTAGCTCCACGCGGAGACTACGGTTTCAGTTTCCTCTGGTGGGGTGTCAATATTCGAGCCTTTGACCAGCTAGTGAGCTAGTGCATACCACCGTCTTTTTAAGCTGTAGAACCAGAGCCTTCATGCTGTCATTATGCTTTTGAAAACTTTTTGAAATAATACAGATCCATACACTTGGAACCTTGATCATTTATTCATGCAAGCCCGGCAATACTGATCTGATCACAACCGGTAGAACAAGATTTTGAACCTTACTGGACGTAGTGTTTTCGGCTGAGCGGTACCACATTGTGACAAGCCTTCGCGATTTTGTCCATAGTTTGGTGAGTAGTTGGAGTCTGTGGCCTCCGCATGCGCAGTCTCTGTTGCGAAGCGGTTCGTCCAGAAGCAACACGATGCAAGCAAACATAAAAGCAAGATGCACAAACCACCTAAAGTAACAATCACTTTGCAGTTGAAGCTGGCAAAACGCATGTTTTGTACCATGAAAAGCACCAATACCAAGCTTGGTGCTGATCGCAGCACAGCAGATTTGGGCACATCTGCCCGAAAAGTTGCTCGAGGTGTGTTCCATGCTTGCCAGGCTTCAACTTCTCCAGCTTGTCTGGCACCACCTTACCGATCTGCTCCAACAGCTCTTCCGGCCGATACCTTGCTGTGGCAACAGAGCCTCTATGGGCTCCGGGCTCATAAGCCCTCAGCCTAAAACCTAAGCGAGCCATGAATCTGAACTCTTCAACTCGTTCAAACCCTACAACATTAACATCATATAATACTTTTTTGCATCCAGGCCTCTTGAACATCCTTTTACCCTTAACCCTCATACTAGCCAGCTTTGATAAGGCACAAAACGGCTGCAAAGGACCAGACAGCCATGGCAAGATGCTGCGGCGTGTACGCGGTCCTTGTGGCGTCAGGGCTTGGGGTTTTGGGGATTTATCGGGTTGACGGCCAGTTTAGGGTATATAGGGATTTGTAAGGCTTGCTTTAGTCTTAAACGAGTCTTTCCAACTGCAGAACAGATGAAATCCCTCCAAGGGAAGTCGGATTTGTGAGGTTTAGTAGGGTTTAGGGGTTTACCGGCTTAGGGTTTATGGGGTAAGGGGGTTTATGGTTCAGTGGCTTAGGGTTAGGGTCCTGGGTGCTGCCCCCTGCCTAACTGACCACTGAAGCTTGGAGATGGGGCACGAATAGTTGCCTCTAGAAAACTCTTGAGACTGTTGGATGTTTGCACGGAGTGGAAATTTGGAGTTTGCATCTTTGCATTCCGTTTGCTTTGATTTGCGGCTTCATCAGGGTGTCAAAGCACCAACGCAATGCCATGCTGGTGTCCTTGTTGCCGTGCAAATGCCGGTGCATCCCATATTTATAGTTTGCCTGCTTTCGCACAAGTACCCGGTCTTAATCTTCAAAATCTCTCGACCCGTAATTAGCCCTCAACCCTATAGATATAACAGTAGACCCTATAAAACCTAAACCTGCGTCGCTCTGAAGGTGGTAAGAATCGAGGCTTTAAATGACAGAGGAGCCCAGAAACCCAACACCATTAGTCCTTCCTTCAGTCTGTCGGACCTCAACGCTACGGTAGCGGCCTTCATAATTAGAATAGGGTTTGGGGGCACATTGTACTCTGAATATAAAATAAGAAACTCCCAAAACAGTATTGGTATTTACCTATGCCCCTATACTACCGCACTTCCAAGAACCATTGGCTTCGCCAAGAGGCAGCCCTGAGCCCTGCAGTGGGGCCCCGCAAACTTCCCCACCGCGTAACATGGCATCGGCAGCCTTCTCAGGATCAGGGTTTATACCTTTCGTCTCCATCGTAGTTCCTTCTTGAAACTTAACCAACTCCATGTTCAGGATCCCATAAAGCAACCCGAGCAGGAGCTGCAATGGAGACTGTAGGTACATGGTCTCGGACTTACTCCGCCGTGAAGACTTACAGTAGGCTGCGCATCCCACAGGATCTATTGCTGGCTGCAGCGTCCTGAAAACGCCGTTTAGGGTCAGGTTTGCTCTTTCTCTTGCCTCTGTCGTTGACGTCAGGGTTTCGGGGTTCAGGGAGTGGCTGCACTGGATTAGTGGCCTTGCTCCGAATGGGCTCTGAGAAAACATGGAAATCCGGATTGATTCTTGCTTTTGGGGTTTCGGGTTGAGGGTTTCCTTGAGACTTCCCTCAGTGTAGCGGGATCTTGCTCAAGAGGGATTCTTTGAAACTGTTACCATTTTGAGAGTTACTTGGCCATACAGAACACCCTACGAAGCCTTACAAACGCTTACATCCTTCACACAACCAAATGTTTAAACCCTATATGCGAGTTTCCGAAAATGGGGGACCCTAATCCAGTAATTACCCTAAAAAGTAGGATCCTTACTACAAGGACCCCAAAACTAGGTACCCTTAATTTGCGGAAGCTCACGTAATCAACCTTAAACCCCAACTTGAAGCCCCACATCATCCTGAACGCCCGCCTTTGGGAAGAAGTGCCCGCAGGCGTCCTCTCGACAGTGCAGTCCACAAGTCGACAGGTTTAATTGCAGATTTAGTACACAGGACCCCCAAGGGGCCCTTTAATGGAGCCCTTCTGGTCCTTAATGATGGGTATTTGGGTCTGATGGAGGGCAGTTGGCGGGTCTAGGAAGTTGAGGGATTGGTTTATGGTATGGGTGTCTGTATTTTGTTGCTTCCCACAGGACTTAAACTTCCGAACATCCCATTCTGATTGCATGCAGTCCCAGAACCACAGGTACGTAGAAGCACAGAGTAACTAGTTACATACTAGTGAATGTACCGGATAGACTTGGACGCCGGAACAAGCGTGAACACAACAAACAGTGGTTAGGACTGCCATTTGCCCAAACAGTCTCGTCCGGCGGCCCAACGTCGCGTGTAACAGACGGTTCGAGATTGCAGTTTTGGAAGCCGGTCCAGCTTGCTCTGCGACGGAGTCTTGGTGAAGTCTCGGTGGACACCGGACGTGGATTTCTAGCTCTAACAAATAATTTCGAGGAGGACCCTCAATCCTAAACCCGAAACTGCTGCCACAAGGTCCTGGGGCGCCACAGTGGCAAATGCCCAAACGGTCTGTGCCAGCTGGCTCGGCCTAGGTCGTGAGTCGTGATTTAATTTCAGGGTCGAGGGCCTTAATGGCTTGAACAGGGATGGCAGTATACTTTACCACGGTGATATACGGGTCACACGGGGAGCCCCTAACCAATGGGCATGACGTCGAAAAGCTCGAAGGCTCTTAATTTCCCAACTTCGAAACACAGGACTGAAATCGTTCCGACCCACGGGCGAATTCTGGCCGAGGAGCGTGTACTCCGGAATGCGCGACATGATCAAGCAGCTCGCTCTGCGGAAGAACGTGTCATCACGTTGTGCCAACTTCGCCCACGACCACAGCACCTGGAAAGCTCTTTGTCCAAGTGGACTTCAGGAAAAGCATGATAATTATGAACCATGACCGAACCACAGTTAACCATGACCATATCCAGGATATCCACAGTCATACTCTTGGATATCATGATAATGCAACAGGTGCAACAACAACAACAATGAGTACAATCGAACACGGGTCAGTAATGGGAAATAGTAATACCAATCCTAGTCGTAATGCTAACAGCTTGTGAACTACAATCAGAGAAAGTCATAAGAACAATAGATAGACATAGTCACAGTGTTGCTACCCAAAGGCCCCAAAGTAGTTCCGTTTTGGGATTACCTTATAGGATTCTATATATGAACCCCGAAAAGGACTTACTTTGGGGGCTCTGGGTATAGCACAAATACACGATCACGTCCCAGTCGCTCGAGAGAGGTCGCCTGGTGCCCACGCGGCGCTGCCTTGCTCTCGGATGGCTGTGTTGATGGACCTCCACATGAAAGGGCCAAGTGTTCTGTATTGTAGCTTAAATTAAAAGAACCTGAAGAGAGGTAGATCGTATGTTGCAAGGACTCACACAAACTCATAGTCTATAGTGTATGTATATATATATATATGTATATATCATTATTTTGGCATCTATGGAGGCTTAGGCCGGCAGATGACACTTGCGCAGCAAGGTGTGTAGCTTTAACTTCCCACCCTCATCCTGCTCACACCACCTCAGAGCAAAATGTAGGATTCTGTGGCCACTGCATGCTACCGCAAAACTAGAAAATCAAAGAAACAGTAGTATATGATCTCTAGCGACATACATACATTGTTTGCATCCCGTGGTGCTAGCGGCACCGGTATGTGCAAAATGCGTCTACATATATATATATATATATATATATATATACGTGTGTGATTATTCGTAGTTGTACATACCTATAGGCTCCATAGTAGTTCCTTTTTGGGATTACCTTACAGGATTCTGAATATGAACCTCCAAAAACGAGCTACAATGGAGCCTATAGGTATACGCACGAATAGCCCGCCTAACCATGTCCAGAATCTCCGAAGCGCTTCGGAGTTCCTCAGTGCCAACATGTAGCGTTCACGCTGCCTTTCTCTGAAGCTTACCTATCTAGACCTCTTTGAGATAGCCCGTTTTCGCAGTTGATTTTCAATAAAAATACGTATCTTTATTAATTACTACAAGTACCAGTATTGCTAGTCGTACTTTTTATGATTTGCCATCGTTTTTACACGGCCTCCCAAAAAGAAAAGACAAGGTTCCGCCATACACCTAGAGGGTAAATCCTGAACCCCACCCCGTGAGGCGGTAAGGATCTTTGAGCAGATGCGTGAGGTAATGTAGGGGCCTCAATAATTAGAATAAGGCTTTCATTGGAGTATATTATACTGGTATATGGTAAATTTTCTAAGGAACCCCCAAAACAGTATTGGTAACTATTTAGGCCCCTACATTAGACCCTCCGAAGTGTCCGGGGTGCTGGGATGCCCATGGTGGCCAGGCTCCAGGGGATCAGGGAGATGCTCATGGGATCCCAATCACCTGCTGTTCAAGTCTCTGGAGACCCCCCCCAAAAAGAAGAACAACACAATCAACGGAATCCTGTGAAGTGTTACTAGAAGCAGAACAAGAACTGGATACTGATTTACACCATAACAAAAGAAAGCACAGTTTGAAGCCCTTAACCCCAAATCGAATACCCAGCCTGGCCCTTGTCGACCAGCGCAGCGCGTGGCGGCGGTCCGGAGGAGGGGAAGGCCCTCAAGGGCTCGGAGCCGCGCCAGGGCCCAGGACATGTTGGCCAGTTGCCGCGGCTGCGCCTTTTTCTTTGGGCTCTTACTTTAATAGTTAGAATAAGGTTCCTTTAAAAGGTTCCTTCAAGGGGGAAGGAGACCATAAGGGTTTCATGTAATTAGAGGCTCAGGGGACTTAGTAGGTAGGTTAGAAGTATACAGGGTTATAAGCACGCAGTTACTCCAAGTCTTGTGTCCCCCGACCCTCCAAGTATCATAAGGCTTACTGTAGGGCTCATACGGTTGATGACATAAATCCTGCATTACCTTAATGACCCTAGACTATGGGAATTTTGGCATATTCCATGTTATGGGGGATGCAGGACTTATATCATCAACCGTAGGGCATTTTCAAACTTGGTCAGGTTTGGGGTAGTGAGACCCAGAGACTCCAAAACCCCTTAATTACGGAATCTACCTTAAACTATAGTAGGATCCTTAATATGATTTAAGGAATATTCCTTAAGGGATATTGGAGTCTCTGGGGATTAGGGAAGTCCTCAACTCGCAGTCATCTTGCAAAACGTCCACCGAAAAAACAAAAACGGAATCTGACCCTAAGGGTCCATGTGCCCAAATAGAATATACTTTGGCCTTGAAGTATTCCCTATGTAGGTACATTGGGGGCCCCAAGTATATACTATTTGGGTACATGGACCCTTAGAGGGTTGCATCACACGAATCTGGCCCTGCCTGTTTCAGCGCTTCCGCGTCTCCCAGCCGAGCAATCAGGACTGCAAAGGATGGATGCTGCTTCGCAGAGGCAGAGAGGCTGGCCCGCCACAGTCGCTGTTCTCTCTGAGAAAGCGACGTGCGTGTCGGGTTCACCGCTTCAGGGCGCACCATCCGATCATTTCGGACATGTTGGTCCACGTCGTGACTACAGCGCGCCAGACGATGCAATGCCACGGTGCATGCAAAGTTGTCCATCTCGGGCAGCCTCGTCTCAATGACAGCCTCCACATGGACAAAGACATGCTCATCAAGTAAAATGACCCGTACACCCTGAACCCTAATCCCTCGAGCCCCTACGGTAGCCACATGAAAACCCTAGAGTAGCCCCGTAAGTAACTCACCTAAACCTTTTAAGCCCTAAACACCGGGTCACCCCATAAGTAGCCCTTAGCAGATACTGCACCTCGCCTGCAGCTCCTCCATGCTCCTTGCCATGTGGAGCGATCCCAGCACCTCCAGTCATCTCGGATCGCTCTACAACATACCCAAAAAAAACAACCATTTACAGTAAACCCCATAAAGTTGGACACCGGATCAAGGCCAAATAGTGCTGGGATTCCCTATACATGACTCTTAAGGATTGAGGCTATTGGGTTTCCAACCTTTTGGCTTCTACTGTAGGGTTCAAGACCCACGTGTTCAAGGACCTTAACAGAGAAATCATAGTAAGGAGTCCTACAAAGAGGTTGTCGGGGGTTCAAGTTTAAGGTAGGGGGCAGGGTTGCGAGCTATACATATACTGCAATATTCCAGCACCTTGTCGGGGATTCCTCCCCGCTAATATAATGAAAAACCTTGCAGTGTATACTGCGAGAGATAAACCATGTCTCGTTTGGGCTACTGATGGCGTGGCGGTTTTGGAGGTTGAAGGTCACACAGTAACAGTTACCACAAAAACCGTAGTGCAGTTTTATCAGGACCCCAACAACTCCTTTTTCAGAAACTGCCTAGAGTAGTTCCTTTTATTGGTTAACCAGTTTTATGGTTAGGACCCTATAATAGAGGTTTGGGTTAACCGAAAAAAGGAACTAATTACAATGGAGACTATAGGTGTTACCGATTCGGACTGCGGGTCGCCTGTCGACGCTGAAGATTCTCCAATCCAGACCGTCCCTCGCGCATAGCAGCATCGGTGGCAGACAGCACCTGAATCAAAGCCGCCGACGATGCGTCATGCAACTTTCGAAGTGAGCCCTCCTGTAACCCGGCACGTGATAACAACAGTGGAACCTCAACAATCGCCCACCTGTCATGGAAGTTGCGAACTGAGTGCAGTAGAGATAAAGGCCCCAGTGACCATTCCTCCTCCACTCCACCACAAGTAGAGATAAGGCCCCAGTGAGCATTCCTCCTCCACTCCACCACAAGTAGAGATAAGTAAGGCCCCAGTGAGCATTCCTCCTCCACTCCACCACAATGCAACCACAAATGCCTCAAAGTTCAACTACCATGTATGTAGTCTGCTACAAGCAGCCAAGGTTGCTTGCATCATTGAACCATACTATCGCTGCTACTTGTCGTCTGCTTCTTTGTTCTATGAGTTGAAGAAGAATGCATTTCACGGTTCATTCTCTCCCCAAACCCTTTTTTTGCACAGGCTTGTATATGCCAGACTGGATGTCGGCAAACCCTTTTTGCAGCAGGCCTCGATGTCCAGCAGCCCGGCTACAGCAAGAGCCCCCCTTTCCCCCGGCTTCTTCAAAGCAAGGAGTCAAACCCTAAACCCTAACCCTAAACCCTACACCCTAAACCCCTATCCCTAAACCCTAAACCCTAAACCCTACACCCAAACCCTAAATACCCTAAACCCCTATATAAACCCTCAACAGAAACTCAAGAGTCCTCTTGACTCCAGGAACTCTCAGGCCCAAGGCGCCACGGAGGCCTTCTTCAGGCCCCTGCCCGCCAAGGAGCCTCAAACTGCGATCTCGGTATCCCTACCGGGGTAGGGTTTAGGGTTCCTTCAAAGGGATCTATAGGGGTTCTATAAGGGATCTCCAGAGGTTTAGGGTTTTGGGTTCAGGGTTGTGGGTTTACCTATAGTCTGCATTGTACTTCCTGTTTTTTTGGCTTATAAACCAAATATATAATTAGGATCCTAAACAAAGGAACCCCAAAAAGGAACTACAATGGAGACTACAGGTCGTCTCGGTTCTCTTTGGGGTTTAAGGCTTTGCTTCTTCCTGAAACTAGGCAAGTAGAGACACCAAAGATGCTTTTCCATCATCGGCATGCAAATCTTCTGCGTCGGTAAGTTTTGGTGCTATGCTGGAAATTGAATTTCACCGATGCTTTGCCGCCGAAAGCCTGAAGTCACTCCCTGCCACTAAAGTAGACCCAATCCTTCCGACCATGCTTGTGATTAGGGCAGCTGTTGCTGCTGTTCCAGAGGGTGATAATGATACATATGTTTCCTAGCAGCGGAGGAGCGCAGAAGTTTGGTGGGCCAGACTTACAGAAGGTAGAGCAAACGTGAACACCGTAGCAGCGTAGCGTATATGATCACGTGACTAGTACATGGGCTGGTATCATGGCGAAGCCTAGAGGCTGTCGGACTACACGTCTCGTCAAGGTCTGGTTTCGACGAGGTGCTGACAGTAAGTCGTTGATGTTGTTCTTGTTGCTGCTGCAGCTGGCGTTGTTACTGTTGCCATTTGCTGTTGTACTCGTTGGTGATGGTGCGGGGATGAGTCGTCGTCGTAGTCGCGGTGGCGCCGGTGGTAGTAGGAATTAATAGGAGCAGGGAAGCAGCAGCAGCAGCAGCAGCAGCAGCAGCAGCAGCAGCAGCAGCAGCAGCAGCAGCAGCGGCAGTGTTGTCGCAGCCGCAGCAGCAGCTGCAGCAGCAGGGGGGCACATTCTAGTACAATGTTATTCAGTAACCCTGAAAAGCATCATGATAAAGGACAATCTTCTAGACTCACCTAAACTCCCAGAAGACCCGAAACTCGAAATTAATTCGCCCAGGGGCCGTAATAGGAAACCGACGAGCTCGAAGCGGAGGAGGGCCTGGCAGGGCTCTCGAAGCTGTCTGTGTCTTTCAAGTTCCCCTAAGGGTCCATGTACCCAAATAGCATATATTTTGGCACCAATGTACCTATATAGGGACTACTTCAGGGCCAAAGTATATACGTACTATGTGGGAACATAGACCCTTAGGGTTCGTAGGCTCGGGTGTCATGCTATGTCTTGCTTGTGCTTCAAGGGCTTGCAAGAACTAGCTGGCCTCAGGCGTCGAAAAAAGGTGTGGTGGCTTTGGGACGTGCGACCGGCCAATTGATGACGGGTGTGGACGTGATACAGCATACGTGTCCGTAGTATCCTGTGGTCCCTTTGAACATCCTTTAAACCATATCCAAAACTGGAGCTGCAACTCCTGCCAGCGGAAAGTGCATCGGTCGTTTAGAAGCCCTGTGCTCAGGCCTAGCCAGTTTCAATTTCCCGCTAAACCCTGTAGTAAGCCAAACCCCAGATCCAACACTCGTAAACCAGAGACCCTCCTTAGACCCCGTAGATCCCTTAGATCCCTTAGAACCCTTGTAACCCTTCTATCCCTTCGATCCCAGATCCCCTCGCACCTCTGCTCCTCTGTGTTTCTGCCCGGCACGTCCGGCACGGGTGGTGTTTCCTTCACGGGGCTTGAGGTCAAGATTGGTTCATGGCTCCGGCTTTCGGAAGACCTTAAATCAGCTCGGAAGGGCGGGCAACTGTATGATGGGCCGCTATCTCAACCCCAAGGGTCCAAGTACTTAATTATCATCTACTCTCCAAAATAGTAACCTACATAACTACTATCCGAAACCTAAGTACCTAATTATTGGGTCCTTTGGACCCTTAGGGTAAGGCTTAGGGTTTATATGGGGTGTCTGGGAACTCTATGGGTTGTACATGATGGGGACAGTCATCTACTATGCTCCTGCCTCCTGCGGTACATTCACGTATGCGTGTGGATGTGTGAACATAAAGAGTGTCAAATATTCATATATATATATATATATATATATACGCACATACGAACATGGATACGTGCATATCAGATCTGTAAATGTATCATAACACAGCAATAACACAAACAAACATATGTTGCATAATTATGCATTCTTGCTCTTCGAGTTGTTGTCCTTTTGTAATTACTTGCCACTTCCTAACCCCACTCTTGCCATGGATGCGTAAAAACCCTCAGCATCATTATGGTATATACTTACAGGGTATTTTGGGGACCAAAGTATATACCATGATGATATACTTGGACCATTTGGGGCATTGCCTCCTCCAAGCTGTAGGTCGCGAATGGCTCAGCGCCGCCCTTCCCCTTTGGGGCCTCGGCGGAAGGGTCAACTGCTCAGGTGCGGATTAAGGCTGATAGGGTCTATGGTTTAAGGTTTATAAGATTTAAGGTTTAGGGGGATTCCCGAATTTGAAAAAACCTGCGCAATCATACAACGTAAGGGTTGGAAACTCTATAGAGCACAAACCCTCGGACAGCTGCTGCTCTCACTGTCCGCGCTCCACCCTTGACTCGCTTCTTGCGGGAAGCTGACTGCACAGGCGAGCAGATTTTCGCACGTGTGCTCAACCAGGGAGACAAGATGTCAATAAGGGATGGCAGCAATCAAGGTCTTCTAACTTCAGACTTCAGTCATACCAGACCTTCACTAACTCGGCAGACAGGCTGTGGTCGCGAAGAACGAGACTGAAGTTCATTAACGTATTTATAGGCTCCCGGATCATCGTGCTGGCTTGAAACACGGCTCGATCCGAGTCTCTTGAGTTGTTTGGGTGAGAGTCTTCACACTGTGATCCTTAAGTACATCATGAGTGAGAATCTGAAGACAAAGAAGTGCTCAGCAAAATGGAAGAGGAACGGAAACAGAACCCGGTTGCGATCCCCACGACCCATCATAGCTCGTAAGCCCCCTTTCAAACGCCCGGCGGCGTAGTAGGACACCATCTGCTCTGCGCCACCATGACAAGGAGTGCCATGGGCCTGAGGCCTTCCTCTCTCCCCCCTCTTTGAGGGCTGTCTTTGGGAGCCTTTAACGGCAAGGGTGTCGCGAGTGGGGGTGGGGCTTTTCCTTAAGGCTTGGGGCTGCGCGAGGGCGTGCGTAGCAGCTGTCCTATAGGAATAGGTCAGGGTTGAAGGTTCTGGGTGAGAAGTTCCATGATTGCTACAGGTGTTGCTGGATGTAGCTTCGGATGTGATAGCTGGATGTTGAGGGCGGACGTGCGGCTTCATGCCCTTCTTCCTTGATATCCTGGGCTCATTCGGAAAGACTTCCACGTTCTTCTTGACACACTCAAGCCTAGCTATCCAAAAACCAGAAACATAAATGCTGTCTTCGAGGTCTTTGCAAGCGTGGCGAATCTCGGCCAATGCGGTCTGCGGCTCCCATGCCAGCAGCTTGAAAAAATGGCCGCGGCGACAACCAACAACCCTGGAGCAAAACGAGCAACACAACAACAAGGATCAACCTCGCTTGCCCTGGCCTCCAGCTTCTACAGGCAGGCTGTGCTGGATGCTAGATAGAATGCCCAGCACAGAAAAACAGAGTGTCCCCAAACCTACCAAAGCTTCCAAAACCCTCAAACATTCATGCTGCCCTTAGGACCTTAAGCCCATCTCATCACTGAGCCCCGAGCCAGTGATCCTGAGTTGCTGTGGGCCGCAAGGTGCAGGGGTGTGATGAGGTCACGGTTCTCGGCTTGAACCACGGCCTGGCAACTCACTCTGTGGTCGAGTTGGCAAAACCCGCGGACTCGTCGGAAGAAGTTGGGGGCTTACTACCGGGGCCTGAATAAGAAGAAGAGGGTAAATTCGACCTAATTAATAAGCAGCCTGAGAGAATGTAGCATTACCAACTATATCCCGACCTCTACAGTACTATACGTTTGGGTTTTTGACTGAGCGGTTCAGGGCTGGAGGGTTTCCTGACGTTTTGCATGTTCGTTCTTGTGATGCTTGTGCCGTTGAGGGGTTCGGGTTTACAGCTTGGAATGACTAAACTGGTGCCGTTTTCGGGCTTGAAGTGTAGCAGTTGGCTTCAGGTGGTGTGAACCATTGCGCGGGGTCACGCCTGCGGCAGGGACCTCTACACCGGAGACTGCGATCCCAAACCCCCGAAGGATCTAGAAAGCAGAACCCTCATCCTGACCCTATACTACTATCGGGTACTTTCTCCCTTTTTTAAGGATAGGCTTTTTGGATCCTCCCAGGGGTCTGGGAAACGGACCCAAGCGACGACCTGGTTTAGATTAGCCCCCAAAGTCATTCCTCAAGCAGAACGCCGGAGTTGGGGCTGAAATCAGCTTCGGATTTGACGCTTCCGACTTAGAGGGGTTCGGAATTGGGGCTTTGGGTGGCGGGTTTGGCTTTCCGGGTAGAGGAGTTGGAGTCGAACGGCAAGCAAAGTCGTGTCAGACTGCAAACTTACTACGTCCTAACCCCTAAACCCTAACCCCTAAACCCTACCCATAAACCCTAAACCGTAAGGCATCAGTCGACGAATTCGAAGCAGAGTAGCAGAGTTCAAAGCAATAGTGAGCCCTATACGCTTGTATGAACCCTATACGCCCTAAAAGCCTTGCAGACTCTGAGACCTGACTCACCCCCAAAACCTAGACCCGTGCAAGCCCTAAGACACCTAAAAAACCCTAAACCCTAAACCCTGACAGCCAACCGCCTTGGCTTTGATCAGGGCGAGAGCAATGCTTTCGTGGCCCTGGACCCAGTTGGTTTCTTGCTTCAGGGTGTATGGGGTTTGTAGGGTTTGCGGTTTAGGGACAGGGTTGAGGGATTTATGGGGTTTATAGGGGCCAGGATTGGGAAATGTTGGAGTCTAGGGACATGGTTGGGGGATTTTTGCTAGGACGAAACTAGACGCCGTGCTCGACTCCGTGCGTAGCACGGGTTCAGGGCTTAAGGTTCATGCAGTAATGGGCTTTTCACTATATAGAGCGGCGCGGAAGCTTTACGCTTAAGGCTTCTCCTGCAGGTATACAGAGGCTTTCTTTCTGGACCATATACGGCTTAGAGGCTTAAAGCTTTGTAGTGCTTCTGGGGTCTGAGGAAGCTACAGTAGAAGCCCAAAGTTTTAAAACCCCGTAGCCTCAATCCTTAAGAGTAGTGCAAAGGGAATCCCAACACTATTTGGCCCTAATCCGGTTTCCAACTCTTTGGGATTTACTGTATGAGGAAGGAGCTCCGGTTTGGCGTTCTGTCCAACATCTTTCATAGGGACCCTTGGGGTAGGTGGAGGGGGGTAGGGGACTATACTTCCTTAAATGGGCCTTATCAGGTCCTCATTATGGGCATTAAGGCCCCCTACCACTCTAAGGGTCCCCATGAATCTTTGATGTTGCCTGGGATCCCGGGTGAAGGGGCCTTATGATGCTCAGAGAGTTGGGTTCTTGCAGGTCCCAGCATCCATTGAAGCAGCTCAATAAGTATTCCGCCACGACTTCCGTAGCTTTCCACATCTTTATCATCAAAATCTCGAAGGGATGTTGGCTGTGTTCAGAAAGTCCTTCCTGCATCAGCAATGATTAGCAGTCGTTGTCATCTCGCACAAGTAGTGCAGTTATATGCTATGATGAAGGTTTCGGTGACGACGGACAACTACCCAGGACCCAGAACAAGCTGGAGCTGCAGAACTTCTCCGAGCATCAACGCTGCTACCACCTGAAAAAGAAAGACTGCTGACTATGAATCGGTACAGCACTTCAAGCTCAGGGTGATCGAAAGTTACCGGCAGATTTATGCTTTCGACTGCCCCAACGCCAGGTCTGGAAATATCCGGGAAGCTGACCTGCCGCGCAGCCCAATGCAGGGCTGTGTGCGCCAGCCCATCGGCGACCTGTAACCAGCACAGACTGTTTAGGGCTGAGGGTTCTTGAATTGTCTGTTGTAGGGCCTTACGCTTGCAGAGCTTTGCTTTAAACAGCAGTCAAGCAACCCCAGTCCCCAAACCCTGGTTACTGAGAGGAGATTCTCGTGTTGAGAAATATAATGTGGGGGAGCTCCCTGTACTTTCAGAACACATGCACCAAGGATCAGGGCTCTAAAGCCCTGCAAACTCTCGAAGTCCACCCCCACACGCACAAAGAAATTCAGGAAGGAGTCCGCAACCAAGAATCTTCCGACGAAGTACCTCAAACCCAAGCAACCGCAAAAAAAGCCTTCAAATGCCTGGGCAAGTTCTGCGTGCCCTCGTCTTCAATGCCTTCTCTTGATAGTTTTGCAGCTTGTAGAGATGTAGAGAACTCTGAAGTAGAGCAGTTGCCCTAATCACCATCTGGATTTGTTTACCTCTGACCGGTTCACACTTTGCAGCGATTCACCTTATCCTTGTGCCACTGTACTCGGGTTTGTAGCTCTCCAATATCATTACATCTTCCTGTTCTTTGCCGGTGTTCGTGTCTGGTGCTATGACGGTAATGGCACCCGGTACAGTTGAGAAGACGGCAGCCAAAATCCCAACACATCCTGAGGGCCAAGCGAGGGGATTGGCTCGTAACTCCAGCAACGCCTGTTTGCTTTCGCTTGTTGGCTGGGGATCTTGACCGGCCCTGATGCTTTTAAGTTCAAAAAACGTGGGGATTGGCCTCCAGCACGAGCATCAGCAAGTGCCGCCGCCACCACCACCACCACCACCACCACCACCACCACCACACCACCACCACCACCACCACCACGAGTACTCCTATTCTCCTGCTGCTGCTGCCCTTACCACTACCACGACTACTACTACCACCACCACCACCACCACCACCACCACCACCACCACGACCACGACGACGAGTACTACTACTGCTACTACTGCTACTACTGCTGCTACTGCTACTACTGCTACTACTGCTACTACTGCTACTACTGCTACTACTGCTACTACTGCTACTACTACTGCTACTACTGCTACTACTACTACTGCTACTACTACTGCTACTACTACTACTACTACGACTACCACTACCACTACCACTACCACTACCACTGCCACTGCCACTACCACTACCACTACCACACCACTACTCCTACTCCTACTCCTACTACTACTACTACTACTACTACTACTACTACTACTACTACTACTACTACTACTACTACTACTACTACTACTACTACTACTACTACTACTACTACTACTACTACTACTACTATACTACTACTACTACTACTACTACTACTACTACTACTACTACTACTACTACTACTACTAGTAGTACTAGTACTAGTACTAGTATTAGTACTAGTATTAGTACTAGTACTACGACTAGTACTAGTACTACGACTACTACTACTACTAGTACTACTACTACTACTACTACTACTAAGTACTAGTACGAGTACTTGTACTAGTACTAGTACTAGTACTAGTACTAGTACTAGTACTACGACTAGTACTTGTACTAGTACTACGGCTACTACTACTACTACTACTACTGCTACTACTACTACTACTACTACTACTACTACTACTACTACTACTACTACTATTACTTACTACTACCACTAGCACCACTAGCACCACCACCACGACTGTTGATGATATAAATCCTGCATTACCTGAAGGACCCTAAACTATGGGAATTATGGCATATTACTTGTTATGGGTCATAAAGGATCTATATCATCAACCGTATCACCACCACCGACGTGACTACCACTCATCCTGCTTTTACTGAAGAAGACAGCCAGTACTCATCCATTCAAAGCTTCGCCGTGCAGACTGTGCACGCGTGTACCAAGAAGGATGCGAGTGTGCACACTATAGGGGCCTAAATAGTTACCAATACTGTATTTGGGGTTCCTTGTGATAAGTATAGTATAATGGGCACCAAAACCCTATTCTAATTATTAAGGCCCCTCCATCATGCTTCGGCCAGCGATTGGCTTTCCTGCTGCCCGGCCTTCACGGCCAAGTCTTTTCCTGGCACAAAGAGAGGACTGTTTTA